CCCCAAAACCCCAAAACCCCAAAACCCCAAAACCCCAAAACCCCGAAAAATCATTTAAATATAGAATTTAAATTAAAAGAGGCAATGGCAAGTAGGATTCATCAGAATTATTACAGGTAAGACCTGAGGGTTATTGTGTAGTGTAAGTGATGACAGAGGAACTAGAAATGGTGGCTATGGTGAGCGAATTAAAGAGAGGAAATAAGGAGTTTGAAGATGTGAGCAGCAGTCTGAGAAGTGCTTTGGGTGAGAGACCACGTGAGAGGGAAAATCGGCCTTATAATTCACAGAAATATATGTATAAAACTGAAATTACTAGAGTTTATGAAAAGCCGATAAAGCCAAAATTAACTCAATACCAATCTATTAAAGCTCAGCCTTTAAGACATGAAAGAACTCCTATCAGAAAACCTCTGAATATAAAATAAGTTCGAATCTAAAGAAGAGAAGAAATCATCTGAAAAAAAGACCTTCTCTTCTATTGCAGGTTCCAAACCTACTCAAACATCCAGCTCCCCTCAACCTGAAATAAAAATTTCAGCTTCTATAATAAAACCTCCGACATCAACCAAACCTCCAAACCCTCAAAAGACCATAATAACCCCTTTTAACCCCCAAAATACACAAAAAATACCCTTAAATCCCTCTTCCAAAACCCCTCCCAAAACCCCTCCCAAAGCCCCTCAAAACCCTCCAAATCCCCCTAAAAACCCCTCTAAACCCCCTCTCCGATTCCACACAAAACGCCCTAGCCCCAGCCCCAACCCCACCGCCCCACCCCCCAAAACCCACTACGACACCTACACAAATTCCTACATATAAAAAGTACACCTCCTCCTAACCCTCTAGCCCTAGTAAACACCCTCACCCTCAACAACCAAACTCTCAAAGAAAACCTCCAAGACTACAAAACTGCACTACAACTTCTCAGCCAAAAATACACCAAGCTCCGGTACAAAGTAAGCTCTAGAGAAATAATTTAGCTCCTTAATCATAAGAGTGAGGAAGAGAGACAGCAGAGAGAGGAATGTGGGGGAAGTAGGGTTTATTATAAGGGGGTTGTACAGTTGATGAAAGAGGAATTTAAGGTGATTCTGGAGCAGAAGGATCAGGAAATTTTGGTGTTGGGGAAAGAGAATCAGGGATTAAGGGAAATTTTGGGGATTAGTAGGGAAATTGGAACTCCTAAGTGGAAAGGTGAGTTTTTTTGGGTTTAGAGTGGTTTTTAAGTAGGGTTTAGAGATTAATGATGAGATTATCAGACATGAGGTTAGTTTGAAGCTGAGAGATGAGGTGTCTACTCAGACTGAAGGAAAATGGAATAATAAGAATGACCCTTCGGAGTCTGATTTTGGCAAGGACCTGAGAATTGATGATGTGACTAGTGAAGAAGATAAAATAGAAGAAAATACCTTACTTAAAATGCAAGCAAAGTTACACAATTCAAAGATTCCTGCCGATACTAAAAAGCAGAAGAAGATCAGGACTACACCTCATGCTAATGATATGGGCACACAAGAAGTAAAATCCATTCTAAACTGTCTAGAACTCTGAACAGCCACTGTTTTCATTCCAGAGAGATACAAATGATGAAAATCCTTACGAAATTCAGGTGCCCACCAGTATTTTTAACTACAACAAAACTGATAATGAAACCAACAAGAGCAAGCAGAAAATTATAGGAAGATACGAAGAAAATGATGAAGTTGCTATTGAAGATTCTGATGAAAACGATGAAGACAACAAGGCTGAAATCCCCACTATTTTCGAAAACCTTAATATCCAGAAATCTAGGCAAATGACTCAAAATCAACAAGATCATAGCGATGAAGAGGAGGATAAATATAATGATTTTTATGCTGACCATCCTCAAGATTTTCCAGGTATTTTAGCCCTAAATAGTCTAGGAATGGGACATTTTGGCGTAAGAGGAGCCTATTTTGGAAGATCAGCAGGCAAAAAATCTAATAATTCAGACCTTTCTGATGAATTGGAGGGATTTAATGTTGACCAACCTGACAGATCCGAATCTCCAGATTACCCAGACCAAATTAAAGAAATTAATCCTGAAGTAAAAGAGCCTGAAATTCTTGGAATAAACACACCTACTGAACAAGTTGAAGAAATCGAGAACATGAATGAGCTTAATGATCATGAAGAAGATAAGCAAGAGATAAGAGAAGAATTAAAAATTACAAAAGAGGAGTCTAAAGAACAAAATGGTAGTCCTGAATCTAACGATGATCAACAGCTTAGCGAGATAAAAGAGAAAGATCCTTATCTAGAAGACACTGATAGAGATCAGGAAAAATACACTCCTTCGAAGTTCGAGTACGAAGCTGATGATTTAGATATTCCCAGCCATTTTAAACAAAATTTTTCACCAGATGAGGAATACTTCCAACCTCATAGCTCTGAAGATGATTATGGAGAAGATGACTATGGAGAGGGAGAATTCCTGCCTGATATGCTCCACGGCAACCTTGAAATTGACCCTCAAGAAATGAATGATGAAGAGAAAATGTTCTATGAGCAGCTCAAAAAGAACGAAATGGAACAATTAGAGATGAATAACCAGAATCTTAAGGAGCATATCCAAATAATGAGGGACGAAGGTGGTCAGCTCATAGACCAATTAGATATGGAAGATTTGTTATCTGAAGGAGAGGGTTATGTAGACTATGAAGAATATCGTAGAAATTATGACAATCCTTATGCCCAGCATGATGAAGATGATCAATAAATGAATATCTTATATAATTTCAATCTCAGCTTTATACAAAGGGGTTTTGGGGTTTTGGGGTTTTGGGGTTTTGGGG